GGTTAAAGTATCATGAGATTTAAAATTTTCCATCACACTATTTAGTAATGTTTATTAGAAGCTATGCAAGGATCTTACACATTTCATAAATTTACAGGTTCAGAATAATTTGCCACTTAAGGTCTGTTACTCAAAGATCTGATATATGAAAGATCAAATCAGTGAGCCTACTTATAAACTTGTTTGCGAAAAGTTCAGTTCATTTTGACTGCTTCCCTTATTTATCCTACTACATTGCTTTATGCATTCAGGCTCCAGGAAGCCCCACAGACTTTAATTGATTAAGTTCTGGTTATACAAAAGCATGCCCTTTGCCTCATAGACACGTTGACCCTTATAGGTCACTTGTCAGATGATTCCTCTTTTCCTCTCCTCCAATACTATATCAAAGTGAATATGCTTATTTTGAATCTTTTTCAGTTGAAATGCACGATGTTACTTATGAATATTACTAATCTTTCTAATTGCTCAAAAGAGATACCTAATCACAATTATATATTAAGATTCTCTTCAGCCTGCAATTATCAAGTAAAACATTTACGACCTAACTTACAATCTAAATCTTTCTCAAGACAAATCATGGGATACCATCCCCCAAGAACCACAAAAAGTCCTGATGCATGTGTTGAAGGCAAAAAATATATCTTGTGGTATTTATATTTTGTTTATTTATTTATTTATTTTTTTGGTGAAGTTGTTTTTATTTGCTAATTGCATAATGAAAAATTGCATCCATAATACTTTATTCTAAATATTTCTAAACAACAGTTTGACCATACCACTTTCACAAGCAAAGTCAACCTTGAATTAAAATTTATGCCCATTGTTTGAGGCCAAATACTTCTAGCTCACTAGCAGTAAAATTCTTGTTACCAGTCAGAAATGTAGAAGGAGTGATGTGAGGTGGGCATTCATAAGTATTTCCCAAGGAACTGTAACTGTTGGTGGCTGAATTTGCTTCATTGCAGATGGTTAAGTCATGTGAGCTTCCAAAGGTTGGGCCATATCCACCGTTGCAGTATATTCCATACTTCGTTTGATCAGGCTTTAGGGGCAGTTTGGTTGGTCCAGCACCAGATGGGTTGACAAGGCTAAATATGAATGACCCATTGCAGTATTTGTAGTTACCAGAAACTGAAATAGAGAGAATTGTATTTAAGATTCACTGTTGCTGTGCGTCTGTTCAGCAATGGATCAAAAATGATGATAAAATGTGGCATAAAACAAAAAAGTGGCAACTGAGGGGCAGGTGGGTGTACCACTGATATTCTCACAGCAGGAACGTGCACAAATTACTTACTATCCCATGACTGCTCTGTGAAACCTCCAAACAAATAGTCCGCACTTTTTACCACTACCACAGTTGGCCCTCTCTCGTCACAACGTGCGTGGAAAGTAGTTGATGACCATCCATCGCGGGAAGCACGATAGAGCAGCACGAAAGTAGAGTGAGGAGACTTCAGTTGATCTGTGAGCCACCTGTTCACCAGTATGTACTTATGTTCATCGGATAGGATGTTGGACTCTAAAAATGGTCGAGGACATAATTCATCGATAATTCCACGAATCTGATAGAACTCAGCTTCTTCAAGCAGTTCTTTTTGCACCAATTGATCCTCTGGTACAAGGAGCCGCCCCGTTCGTAGGTAGTTTAGAATATACCGGAAGTGTGTTCCATCGCGGTCAATGAAGTAAGTTCCATCCTCAGCTGGTTTTGTGTCAAATCTTCCTGAAAACATGGCGTGTAACATTGAACCTGGATCCTTTTTCAGCGTTTGTAGGCTTGTACTGAAAAGCTGACCGCCGACATTTAACTTGACAGTAGAGGCAAAGTTGACATGTTCCAGTTTCTTTGCGACAGAATCAAAGGCTTCCTTCTCTTTTTGAACTTCCAACGCCTCCCCTTTCATGATTTCGTAAGCTTTCTTCATACAGTTCAGGGCTTCCTCCAAGGCCTTATAACTTGGTCTATCGATCTCTTCTCCGTCCGCGGACATTATTATTCTTAACGAGTGAGACAACGTGCAGGAAGTGATCTAATGTAATTGCAAATGTCAATCAGAGCATGAGTGTAAGAAGTCTGGGAACCATACCTCGGTCCCAGTGCTCTTTTTGCATGCGGTTGTAAATAAGCGGTGGCACAGCTACACAACATGGCGGACGTTTGACAGCTTCTAAATATTTTGTTAGATATCTTTTTGTTAATTTGGGACTATGGATGAGGAGGCACGAGCTGATTCTTCTAGAGCGACTGTAACAATGCGTCTCATAAGGTCCTTTGAATACAGGAATATCAAATATGTCGTATTTAAAGATGTGTCATTGGAACAAACAGCCAAAGATTTCATGGACTTTGTCGTTTCGGGTAAGTCTTTATCCTCAAA